TTGTGACTTCCTGCTGGTTCATGTCTGAGCCAATCAGAGGCCGTGCTGAGTCATGACTTCCTGCTGGTTCATGTCTGAGCCAATCAGAGGCCGTGTTGAGTCGTGACTTCCTGCTGGTTCATGTCTGAGCCAATCAGAGGCCGTGCTGAGTCATGACTTCCTGCTGGTTCATGTCTGAGCCAATCAGAGGCCGTGTTGAGTCGTGACTTCCTGTTTTCAGCTGATCTGGGTGATGTAGTTTCAGCTGCAGGCGCTGAAACGACTGCTTCTGTTTGTTTTCAGGGACTTTGAGCGTCTGATATCCGACACCTGGCTGAGCGCTCCAGAATGCCAGCAGGTCCCGGTCCCTCAGTGCGACCTGACCCTGGACCTGCGTTCTGACTCAGACTACATCCTGGGGGTCCGGGCTGAGTGTGGCTCGCAGCTCTCCAACTGGTCCAACGTCCTGTTCAACAGGAGAAACAGTAAGTTTTCATGATGACCTGATAATAAACTGATTATTTTCTGTTTGCAGTGAAATAACTCCAACATTTTCTCTCTACAGCCACTCTGATGCCTCCTGACATCCAGGTGTTGATGACGGGCGACGCCCTCCAGGTGTCAATCAAAAAACCTCCGACCTCCAGTGGCAGAGTGACGGTGTGGAGGAGAGACCAGGAGCAGCAGGTGGGTTTTATTTTTCTGTTTTTATTTCATGCTAACAGCAGAAACTGACTCCTCCAGCTGCTCTGCAGCCTGTCACTCACAACATGGCAGACGAACAGGAAGTGCTGCACATCGCCTCGCTGCAGGAAGGGGCGGAGTACTGCGTCAAGGCCCAGGTGGTCCTGCACACAGGGGAACAGAGTGACTTTACTGACACCCACTGTGTGGTAATCACAGGTATAAACAACACAACAAACATCTGAAACACAACAACACAACAAACATCTAAAACACAACAATACAACTGTAACACAACAAACATCTGAAACACAACAACACAACAAACATCTAAAACACAACAAACACCTGTAACACAACAAACATCTGAAACACAACACAACAAACATCTGAAACACAACAACACAACAAACATCTGAAACACAACAACACAACAAACATCTGAAACACAACAACACAACAAACATCTGAAACACAACAACACAACAAACGTCTGAAACACAACA